CGGGGAATCCTGACATCCACAACTGCTTTTCACGCTTTGAGCTCAGGGAACCCGTTCCCACCTCAGAATAGGAGCCGCTCAGCACCCAGATGAGGACAGAGGCCTGGTTGGTGGGTTTTATTAGATTGTGTGAGGTAAATTGGCTGGTGGTTAACCTCGGTGACAACATTCCCATGCAGATTGTTTTAACCCTGTAATGCCAAATGTATCATATCTGATTCATACGGTTTCTGAAATGTTTTGCGTCTGACACCTTTTGCATAATTTAATGGTAAAAACTTTGCTCAAAATCCTATTTTTTTTGTTTTTTTTTGTTTTATTTATAATCTATTTATATATTTATTTAAATATGTATCTATTTATTTATTTATTTATTTTTATTTTATTTATTTTTTATTTATTATTTATTATTATTATTCTTTTATTATTATTCTTTTTCTATTGTACACAATCAGATACACCTGATAACAGGGGGCAGAAGACTACACAAAAAAGAATCTGGACTTATCGCATAGTAATAAATTATTAATATAAAATTTTTTTTTCTGTTTTTTCTTTTTACATATTTTGTTAAAAGGCCAAATAAGGAATTCAAACAAAAAAAAAAGTAATTTTCTGTTTTGTTTTATTTCTTGATCAGGATTTAAAGGGTTAAAGGAAAGACGTTCTCAACACTGATTGTTGCACAAAAAGCATAAACCTGGAAAAACCCTGAAAGTTGCGTAATTCCCCAGAAGTAGTTGAACGAACAAAATGAACAAAATGTCGTCCTTTGACTGTCAAAGCTTGTCAACTAGCTCAGGAGGAGGGGATTAGCTGCAGTCGGATGGGAGGATGAAGTGAGGGGAAAGTGGGTCTCTCAGTCACATCATTTCAGAAAAAAGAAGAAGAAGAAGAAGAATGGGGGGGGGCAGTCTGTCATCCCAGTGACACAAAGACTTTTGTTCTGAATCGGTTTTAAAGTTAATCCCAGTTGCCTCCCAAGTCCACGAGGGAATTTATTACCTATAACCCTTTAAAGTCTGATCCAAGAATAAAAAAAAAACAGAAAATTACTTTTTTTTGGTTTGAAGTCTTTATTTGGCCTTTTGACAAAATATGTAAAAAGAAAAAACAGAAATACATTTTTAATATTAATAATTTATTACTATGCGATAAGTCAAGATTATTTTTTGTGTAGTCTTCTGCCCCCTGTTATCAGGTGTATCTGATTGTGTTCAATAGAAAAATAATAATAATAAAAAAAATAAAAAAAATGAAAAATAAATAAAATAAAAATAAATATATAAATATATGAATAAATAAATATATCAATAAATATATCAATAAATAAATAAAAATAAAACCAAAAAAACAATAAAAAAATCAGGATTTTGAGCAAAGTTTTTACCATTAAATTATGCAAAAGGTGTCAGACGCAAAACATTTCAGAAACCGTATGAATCAGATATGATTCATTTGGCGTTATAGGGTTAATCCCGGTTGCAAAAGGCTGCCTCCCAAATCCACAAGGGAATTTATTACCTCTAAGTTAAAAAAAATGAGTCAAAACATTATAAAATTACCTGAAAGATAAAGAAAAGCCAGAA